AGAGCTGCTGATTAACGTCGGGCGTTGCTGACAGTGCAATCCCCGTCTCCGACGTGCTAAGCCCACCAACGCGCAGCCCCGCTGACCCAGCAGCTGCCCAAGCAGAAATGCTCAAAACTCTCCTCTGAAGCTACAATAAAAAAAAGCTATCGCTCTCAGCCAAAAAGGACAGGAGGGCAGAGCTGCAAGAGACATGCTGGTGACAGATGTGTCCCCCATCTTCTCATACGAGGCTCCAAGGGGAGCCCCAGGACAGTCCGAATCATCTTGGGGGTCAGATGAACACAAGGAGGAAGAGGAGGAGGTGGAGAACGGGTGAGGCACAGTGAGAGCAAAGCTGCACAAGTTGTCTGCGGAAGCACCAGCCGAAAGCCCCGGCCGGCACAGCGGCCCCACAGACACGCGCAAGGTCCGAGCACCTACACGCACCATATAACCTGGCTGGAAGGACTCAGCAGTGATGGGGAGTGATGATGATGATGATGAGAGCCGGAGGAAGGCACTGCCTGCCTGGACAGATCTGATCAGAGATTCCCTCACACCTCTAAATTAAAAAAGCAACAAAGGATGCTCCAGCGAGCGTCGCAGCAGCTCCGAGTGCAGGGGCCGGGCTCTGCATCTCCACCTCCCTGGACCCCAGCCCCACTCCGGCAGCCGTGCAGGCAGGGACGGACCCCAGGGTGTCACCCGTCACCCTCCACCACTTCCCCGTGTAACAGCAAAGCACCTACCAGTTATTTATCAGCGTATCCACAGCAAAAAAGCCCAGGACGCACAGACCTCTTGCCGCAGCTTTCTCGTCCAATGAGGATTAGGGCTGGATTAAAGATTTAATCCCAAAGCCGAGGGTTTTCTGGGTTGGTGACATGGTTTTCAACGCGCTGATTAGTGTGTGTGTGGTTAGTGCAGCACCGATAATTAACACAGGCTGCGTTACAGCACAGGCACGCAAAAACGGGGTCCTCCTGTGCAATCACCACTGCAATAGTCACAGGGAAGAGAAAACCTGCCCCGCTGCAGGGTTTTGCTCTGACTTTAGGCAGGAGAGCATCTGCTTGAGGCCACGGAGGGCGGCCGGGGGCAA